CTAATATGAATTGATAGATATATTATCAATAATGAACTAAGACTCTTCTCACCAATAACAACTTCACCATCAACAACTTCACCACTTTCAACAATTTCATGAACAATTTCAACAATTTCATGAACACTTTCAACAATTTCAACCTAAATTATTTCAATAATTTCAACAATTTCATCTCTTCTCACCAATTTCAACCATTAACAATTTCAACATTTTCACCATCAACAACTTCACCAATGTCATGAACAATTTCATCAACAATGTACCACATCACCATCAATAATTATCAACAATGTACCACATTTTCATTAATAATTAGCAACAATCTCATAAAATTGACATAAATTCACCACAACTTAGAGCAATTACACAAGATTGAGTTTAGGGTTTTACCAAGAAATTGAGTGACTGAGTGTGAGAGAAAGAAGGGCAGCAGCAAGGTGGCGGCAGCAGCAGCGGCGCACCGGCGGCGGTGGGGGCGGCGACAGCAGCGGTGGTTACGGCCTTGGTGGTTTAGTGTGAGAGGGAGGAGGGAGTGCGTTTTTGTTGTTGTTGTTGTGTTCTGTTTCTGCTGCTGCTGCGAATGTATATACGCGCATGAAACGCTGTCTCGGACAGCGTTTCTCTTCACGCATGAAACGCTGTCCCGGACAGCGTTTCATTAAACGGCATAAGACGCTGCCTGGGTCAGCGTCTTATGTGCTATGTTTTTTTTTTTTCCTCCTTTTACCTATAATAACTACGAATTTAAAAAAAAATTAAACACAAGGTAAAACGCTGTCTGGGACAGCGTTTTACCTACTGAATTTTTTTAAAAAAATATTCCAGGATAAAACGCTGACCGAGACAGCGTTTTACCCTAGAAGCTTAGTTTGGTAAATACTTTTGCCACGCGTCTACTTTGGTAAATATTTACCAATTTGGGCTCAATTTGGAAAAAACGTCCAAGTTATCAATAAGGTTAGTGGACATGTGAATGGGTCATGACTTGCATTTAATATTCCACGTAAAAGAGTGTATGATGAAACAGTCCATGTTCATATCAACACACTTCTTATTCCAAATGAAAATTAATTATTAATTGCTTGAATAAATATACCATAAAGTTTATTCAATTCAAATTTATACAATAAGATATGTTCTTCCACTAACACTTTCTGACATTGGGCCAACTTGCTGCATCAAGTTGTTTATTAACAAAATCTTCAAACATATGACTAGTATAATTTCAAACCTGTACTAATCTCTTATTCTCTTCTACCCTTCCTTTTCTGGTTTAACATCTTTTTTTCCTAAAGAGCACTATATCTGAACAACCACCATGACATTCAACAAGACCAACTCGGTAAAATTTTCGAAACCGACATCGATTCTTCCTTACGAAACCAAATGTTAATGATCTTTACACCCTAGGCAAAAAACTAGGCCAAGGTCAATATGGAACAACATACCTGTGCACAGAAAACTCCACAGGAGATAAATATGCTTGTAAGTCAATCCCCAAGAGGAAGCTTTTGTGTAGGGAAGATTGCGACGATGTTTGGAATGAGATTCAGATAATGCACCACTTAGTTGAGCACCCGAATGTAGTAACCATTAAGGGTACTTATGAGGACTCCACTAATGTTCATTTGGTCATGGAGTTGTGTGAAGGTGGAGAACTGTTTGATCGAATCGTTCAGAGAGGGCAATATACCGAGAGAGGGGCTGCTAAGTTGATGAAGACTATCATTGGTGTTGTTGAAGCTTGCCATTCATTGGGGGTTATTCATAGAGATCTCAAGCCTGAGAACTTCTTGTTTGAAAGTACTGCAGAGGATTCTTCTCTTAAAGCTACTGATTTCGGCCTTTCTGTGTTTTATCAGCCAGGTGTGTTTGCAGCTTTCCTAGCATTTTTACTTCTTTGTGCTGTTTTGCTGAAGGTTGATAACTGCAATAAACTTTTTAGACCAGAAAATACAATGTATCAGAGTTAATCAAAGGGCTTGAAAAATTGCAAATTTGATTTCAACCAACTTAAAGAGTACTTAACAATGCACAGTTTTTCCCCCCTGTTTTCCTAAGCATAGAAAGATCAAAAATCAAATCAAAGTGAAAGGAACTAAATTGGTAAGGTAAGACTATACATCATAGATCAAGCTTGAATTGTATTGGTTTGAATTCTAAGACATGTTCTTGAGTTTCCCAACTTATAAGCACGTCCCAAGTAAAAAATTGTGCTTAACATATAAAAATAAAATAATGTCTTCAACAAAGTTCCAATAGGCAAGTTGCATTAAACTAGCACTATTTCACATTCTGTTCTGTGTTCACATTAACTGAATATATCGTAATCTGTTTAAAATTTAGTTTTATACTGTTTTCCTTCTCGGGAAACAGATAAGATCAGTGACAGAAAAATTTTGGTACCTCACAACCAACAAAATTACCACCGCAATCATTTCAGGTACCACAACACAGCATATTGAATACCACCACTCCTAAGTACCCATATGAGACATAACTGCACCTACCTTCTACATCTGGGATTAAAAACTTTTGCCCTTCCTGGGGGTTTTCCAAACATTCCTCTGACTAGTAGTCTAATACTACACTATTTGCACTCTCTTGTGTTTTGAAGGTGATACTTTCAGTGATGTTGTGGGGAGTCCTTACTATGTTGCACCAGAAGTATTGAACAAGCTATATGGCCCAGAAGCAGATGTTTGGAGCGCAGGTGTTATACTGTACATCTTACTCAGTGGAGTTCCACCTTTTTGGGCAGGTAAACAAAGGCCTAGATTCAGGGCATCCCACAGTGTTTACTAAGATAAGTTGCCAATTCAGCAAGAGGCCAAAAACTTAAAAAAAAAAAAAAAAAAAAAAAAAAAAAAACTGCAACATCTGTAAATTTTTCTCCGTTTTGGCTAAATTGTGCTTATACACATTTTTGGAGAAATCTTGTATGGAGAGAGTCTGGAATAACTTGTAAAACCAGAGTGATCTTATTTCTGTATCACAATAAATTAGTGCAAGACTGTTTCAGCTAAATCTCCCTTTTAATTGTGGTTATGCAGAAACTGATGCAGGAATATTCAGGCAAATATTGAGAGGAAAGCTTGATTTTGAGTCGCGACCATGGCCAAGCATCTCAGAGGATGCCAAAGATTTAATAAGAAATATGCTTCAAAGAGATCCAAGAAAGAGGTTCACAGCTTATCAAGTGCTAAGTAAGACATCTCTTCCAACAAGCTTTTAAAGATGTAGCATAATTAAGGATGAATAAGTAATAGTGTTTGTTTCAAACAGGTCATCCGTGGATAGTTGATGACACAAAAGTACCTGACAGGCCTCTTGATTCAGCTGTTTTATCTCGCCTCAAGCACTTTTCAGCCATGAACAAGCTTAAGAAGATGGCCTGCCGGGTAAAACTCAAACTATACTGTTAAAAAATTCAAGATTCCTGTACTTTATACTAAACTAAGCCCAAGAACCAAGTGCCACTTTCCATTAGAAAATCATGGGGAGGGCTGCTACGTTGCAAGATTTAGTTACAGTACTTGCAGGTCATTTATACATCACTGACAATTAAGACGGTTAAATTGGTTTTAGGTCATATCAATCTAATATTACATTACTAAAAATCATGTCTTAATAGTCCGAGGCCTACCTTTTTTTTAGTTTATGCATATTTTACTGAGTCATGGTACTCCCTGTGCCTTTAACAACAGATATCTTAGGTTAATGGTTTGGGTTATAGACTTATAGATAGCATTCAAACCCCAATTTTTAGGATATATGGAAATGGGTCATAAGACTTAAGTGATTTGGATTTATAATAGATTTCTAAATTAGAAGATACTAATTTTTAACCACTGAATTTTCTGGTGCAAGCATACCATCATAGGTTAAGAGAGAATAATTATGTCTTTTGCAGGTCATAGCTGAGAGACTCTCTGAAGAAGAGATTGGTGGTTTGAAGGAGCTATTTAAAAAGATAGACAAAGACAAAAGCGGAACTATAACATTTGATGAGCTAAAAGATGGCCTACTACGGGTTGACTCAAAGATAAAGGAATCTGAAATTGAGGATCTCATGCATGCAGTAAGAGCAATTAACTACATAAGAAAGCATATATAATTCTCATACATATTCATTAATGGCTACTGAGTAAGGGTTACCAATTGGCAGGCAGATGTGGATGACAATGGAACAATAGACTACAGAGAATTTGTCGCAGCAACCCTGCACCTGAACAAGTTGGAGAGAGAGGAGAATTTGGCATCTGCATTTGCATACTTTGACAAAGATGGCAGTGGTTATATAACCATTGATGAACTCCAGCAAGCCTGCATCGATCTTGGACTCAATGATCATCACCTAGAGGAAATGATCAAGGAGATTGATCAAGATAATGTGAGTATTTATTATAGTACCAAAAATTTATGGATATATAAAATTTGACAATATTGCACAATTGCTAAAGTATTTCCCTGCTTAAAACAGCACTACCTGAGTACTAACATGAGACTGATGTCTTTCAGGATGGCCAAATAGATTATGCAGAATTTGTTGCAATGATGAGGATGGGCAATGGAAAAGGTGGGAGGAAAACAACGAGAAGCATTATAAATTGGGAAGATGCTGCTGAATTTCTTGAGGATTCATAGACAAAATCTAGCAGTTAGCACCATTGGATTTTAGCAGTTACTTCTTATTATTACAGGAATTGACTGAAACTAACCATAGGATCTTTCAGTCTCCTGAAGATGTCTGAATTTTGCACTTTCATTTACAGTGTCTTTGTATTCGACTTTATTGTCAGTCCTGAATCTGATAGAGTTCAGAAATCTGAAAACCTAGCTGAGTTACTGCACACCAATAACGGTCTGCATGATATCTGAACTTTGAACACAGTATTTGTTCAATACGACCGTACATGTTGCCTTGAAAAAAAAATGATCAGAGAAAAAATATATATATATAGAAAATGGATGTAAGACTTCATATTAAACATATATGTGCAAATGAGCATCAATCTTAATAAAAACAAATGTTACATAAAAGTACTTGAGGGCATCATTATACTAGATGATCTTATTGTACTGTACATACATGTTAATTTCGCAATAGATGACATACATAGAAAGAGCTAGTACAATAAGGACATTCCCAATAAAGAGCTACAATTTGCTGGATACAGGAAGGTACTTGGTGTGCCGTCCCTGAGCTATGATCTTTCCGCTTGCCTTCTTCCTTAATTCTACACTGATAACAGCAAGGGACTTCCCAACGCGTAGAGCCTTGCCTTCAACTTCAATCTCTTCCTGATTAAATCAAAATTGAACATAGATGTATCAGTAATACATCACTAGGATTCATTGAATTTAAAAATTAAATCAGATAGCACAGACATATGAAATGCATAAAAGCCAAAACTAAGTGAGATCAAAATCTGACTATCATAACTTTCCAAGCATCAGAGCATGTGAGTGATATCTCTTAACATATAAAAACTTTTTGAACATTATCAAAATTATGAGAAGAAAGCAGCAAGTCATATACTCATAGGCCAGCAAAAAATAAAAGACATCTTTCATAGTTTGATCAATGCATGGAAGAAGTAAACAATGCCACTAGGTTACTTGGACAGGAACATCCAAGCCCCAACATACAAAAATCTAAGATATATATGACATCTAAATTCTAGATACTTAAAAGATTCATATCTAACCCTCAAATCTACATCCATATAATCGCTTTCTTTCTATATCCGGGTAACAAAGCAACAGCCACATGACCCTCAAAACCTACAAGGAAGATAAAAGTAACAAATCTCATTTTCACTCTGACCAGCAACACACCATATCAAGAGTACTTAATTAAACATCAGTTTGACAAATGGTTTCCACACAGAATAAGTAAATAAATCTATGTAGAAGCCATCATATTATAACACCCTAAAAGACATAGAATAAACTCCTTAACCTGTAACCCCTTCTTAGTAACTTGAGTAATCAACCCCCCCACATACAAGCTTTCATAACCTACAATCAGTAAGTTGTACCTAGCCTACTTTGTTTCTGATCAAGAGAGAAAAGTAACCAGAGGCTCCCTTCATCCCTTGCTTGCTTACCCAACAAAACGGTTCAACTTTCTTACTAGCAATGGACTACAATAACAGAAAGAAAAAATCTTATTCACTATTGTATTATCTATAATTATAACTTATAAAAAGGGATTTTCAGTCTTCCATTGAATGATGAATCACTTCAAGCACCGACGATTCACGAAAATTCAAAATTCCTAAATTTTATCATCCAAGAAACAATTAAAGCGTTAAGAGCACCCTTATTGGACTAAAATCACCATTAAATTCAGAAAATTCAACAGTAAATCAATCTTCATAAATTATAAAATCACTTCAACAAGCTCAACCCCAACATTCCCACAATTCAGTATGTCAAAAAACATCAAAAAATACAGACCACATACAAATTTCAACTTATCAACATCAATTAAGCAATAAAAATCCAACAAAATTACGAATTTTCCTCAAAAATACCATCAACATACATCAGGAAGTGCAGCATCAAGGTAGGAAACATTGATCTCAACAGAAACACCAGTAGACGGAGCTCCAACAGTGAAAACAACAGCCGAACCAACCAAATCCACCAAAGACGCAATTGCGCCACCATGAAGAGTATTCGCAGTATTCTGCAATTTCATCCCCAAATCAATTTCGGCAATTCAGGTCAAATAAAAAACCCTAATTACAAAATCAAGCAAAATTTATCATAAAAATTGAAGAAAGAAATACGAACCAGGAGACGTTGAGGAACATTGAAGGAGCAGAGAACACGACCATGTTCGATTTGATCAATGCGAAGACCATGAACGATGAAAGCGTCGAAAAATCTCAATGGAAGTTTGTGAATTTCTGTAGGTTCATCTTTTTTACCTGGTTTTTCCAAGTAATTCTTAATCGTCTCGAACTCCATTATTTCTCAGTTTCTCTCCTCAATTTGATGCTATCAGCCTCAGAATTCCGAAATAACTGGACCGATGTGTGTTAAAAAACAAATTAAGGGGAAAGGATGATAAACAGTTGTGCAGGTCCCGCTAACCCAGGTCCTAGGTCGGGTTAGCCCGTGAGGGGTTCCGATCCGATACGACCCTCCTAAAACGGTCTAACTACCAAAAAGGGAAACAAAAATATGTAGTGGTATTATTGTTTTGTGATATAATGGTCCTTAGAATTCGGACAAGTATTAGAAGACGAAGGGAGTAGTCCGGGGTACTACTAAATACCGGTTAACCACTACTATTATTAAACGGAACTACTATTTGCTTTTATTTACCTTTATTAAGTGGTTGTCTCAACTAAATGAGAAAATAAAAGTTTATTTATGAGTACAATTTTTTTAATCACATGACAGTATGGTAAATCAATCAATCAATCAATTACATACTACTAAAAGCGAATCTAAAGCGACCCTTGACAATGTATTATTAAAAAAAATCCCGCCAAAATTACTTTTTAAAAAAGAATCATTGCTATATAAAAATAGGTCACATTACCTTTTATTTTTATTTTTTTTTAATATCTAAAGTAAACCTCCTTAAATATCAACTTACACGTTATTACTATTATTACATGTAAAAAGATTTTTTTCTAACATTTTTTTATTGTTTTAATAAATATGTAATGCGTTAAATAACAGGCTAATCATTTCAATTTTTTAATATAATTATTTTTTATTATAATTAGTCAACATTCATACAATGTACGGGATTTAACTTAGTTTTTCTTAAAAGCGGATCCTACACTGATGATAACAGGATAACGTTGTGGATTTTGTACCAAAATCATCTTCTTCTCTATATGTTCATTTTTTGTCATCACAAAGATTAACCTATGTTTTCTCTAAGCAATCATACTAACACGGAATACTACTATTACAAATTCTTTTAATTTGTTTTGTTTGAAATAAGTCAATAAACATTTAGGGACAGAAGAAGTAGCAAATAAATTTGTTCCGTATGTTCTATGTGTGTTAAAGAACCAAGTAGAGCAACTATGTAGATGAGGCTCACAGCATTGCATATCACTCCGTATACTGTATTATGTTGTACTTCATATAAAGTAAACAAAACTTTCATAAAAACACAAAGGAAAGCATATGTTACATCATAGAGGGAGGAAAACCCTCTTTGTAAATTAGTTCAAGCGTTCAACAAACATAAACATAGGAACCTAAAAGGAAATTGACTGCTACAAGATTACAGCCTACAACATACATTGCCAAGAACAGAAAATAAAGCGAAGATATAGCAGTAGCCAGTAGATTTGATATGGGTAGCAGCAACTTAGAGGTGATGACTGCAGCAGAAGTCGCTCATCCAATTCTGATTCATCCTGAGTAAACAAAACAACATAATGGCATGCCGAATGCAAGCTATACACCAACAAATATGACCAGTTATGAATTTATGGTGTTACCATAATAAGTTTAGCAAAAAGAAAAAAAGTAATTACATTTAGCAAAGTCACAAAGTATAAGTAATACAAAAGAAAAGGATCATTAAATCTTAGGACAGACAAAATGCATAGCTTAACAACTTCTTACTTTAATTTAAAAAGAAAAATAGGAGTAAAATGCATTTTAGGTGACTCACCTTCCAAACTTATCAACGTTTGGGGACTTACCTTTCACTTTTCATCGCTCGGGGATTATCGGTCACCGGAATTCAAAAATCCGATCACTTAACAAAAAATTCTCCTAAATTACAATTGTCAAAGAGATAAAATTTAGTCTTTGACTCTACAAAAAAAATATATTGCAGAAGAAAACTCCAAAATGTTAAGAGTATGCAGAGCCCAAAATGCGTAAATTGTAACTAGATAACCTCAAAATGTTAAACATTTCTGCAAAAATAATTAAAAATGTATATGAGTAATGAGAATTATTTTTAATAGCAATAATATTTTGATTAAAAAAAAAAAAAAAAACCAATAGCATATACGAAAGTATTGTACAAAGCCAATGGGTTTACCTCAAGTTTGATTTATTATGTAACTTCTCATATCATTGATTGAAATTATGGTTGTAAGGTCCAATATTTTTGTTAGCCATATCCTTGCATTAAGAGAACAAATTATCAATTAGCATATAGTCTATATATTTTACTTGAACTTCATACCGAATTGACATGAGTGGAGCAAAAAAAAACAAGAAAATAATGCCTGTAGTGCTTGAGTTGTTATGTAATTTCTGCCATTCAGAGGAATGAAGCTACGGTTTGATGATGAAATGCTACCCTGAGTCGATTGTGATTGCTGGGTATTGTTATGTATTATTGTAGTTGACTGCAAAGTTTGCTCTCCACCATAATTAGTATAGTAAGCAGCTTGCCTCCTAAATTCATTGATCTAGGAAGGAAGACATTAATACAACATATTGTACATATGCTTATAATTGAGTGGATTTTTGAAGAAAACAAGCATATGAACTTACTGAACACTTACTAAGGATCCAGTAGGAGTTTGTAAGGGTGTTTGTTTATTTCCTTTCTATTGAAGTTGCGTGAGTGGTTGAGTTGAACTTGGTAATTCGTCTCTGAAGCTACAACTTCTTTTGTTATGCCCTTGCTCTCCACATACACTACGTTTCATAATCATGTCAGTCTTCCTCATTTTACCATTGCTAGTAACTTCTCCAATCTGTTTTTTCCTTGCCTTTTGTGGTCTACCTCTAACCTTTTTTAATGGAGGGGATGAATTTGATTCAACTTGTGAAATTGGACATTCATTATTAGGTCCATTCAAAGGCTCCATAGGAAACTCATAAACCTTCAAATATTCAGTTTTGATAAACTCATAAATTCATAATACGACAATAGTATCAATATCCTATTGTCCTTCAATTCGTAGCTGTGATGTTCTTTACAATAAGAGAAGTTATTGGGTGAATCAACAAGCTAAGGAAAGTCCAATTCAACATTTATAAATGATTAATCAATTATAATGATATCATCTAAATAGTTACGTAATTGATTTAGTATACTAGTATCATTCAAACAATTGACCATGTCATACGTAAAACCAATTAATCATATCATTTAACCTAGGCAATTTCAACTAGTTAATTATATCATCTAGACAATTAACCATATCATTCAACCAATTAATCACATCATCATCCAACTTAGCCACTTAAAGATTCCATCCAAAAAATTAACCACATTGTTCAAAATTTCAAATAATGAATGGTATCATTCAAACAATTAAATATATCATCCAAACAATTAATATCATCCAAACAATGAAGGATAGGAATTCATCCAACCTAGAAATTAAAGATATAATCAAAATAATTAATTATATCATTCAATGTAGAAATTAAAGATATTATCCAAACAATTATCATATTGTTTGGGCCTAGTTCATGTCCACACAAGTACAGGTATGCCACCTGAAAAGTGGTACAACTATAAATAGCTCATCATTCATTAATGATAGGAAACATTTTCTAAATACTCTCTCCTTCTCTCACCACTTTTTCTCTCTAAGTACACTCTTTTTACTTTCTTTCTCTAGAAAATACATTCGCTGACTTAAGCATCGGAATAGCTTTTCCGGGTCATAACACCCCCGTAGCAACTAACCTTCTCGATTTTGCAGGCAGAGCTCTCAAACACCAAGGCGGAGCCCTCAAACATACCTATGCAAGGTGGAGCTCTCTAACTTCTGGACAATAACTGGACTTAAATTCTAGGACATCGTGATACCACCTAACCTTAACACATCGAAGAGTATTCTGTTTCTAGAAACACATATCATCCAAACAATGAACGTTATTACCATCCAAATAATTAATCATATTATCCAAACAATGAATGGTTATCACCTAGATAACTAATCATATTATGAAATCAATGAATGATATCATCCAAACATTGAATAACATCATCCAAACAATGAATGAAATTATCTAACCTAGAAATTATAGATAATATCCAAACAGTTTAATCATATCATCCCAACAATGAATGATACCAGGTTTTTTGGACTCCTTCGAAAGATAAGGTTTTATTTGTGTTTAATTTGGTCTCTGGATGTGCGGGCGAGCACTACGATTAATTATAGCTCGGATTCGAGTTACGAAATCAGCACAAGAATTTACCTTTTCACAAAATCGCGAAGCGATGACGGATCCACTCAAAAAGTTGTATGAGACAACGAATCGAGAATGTGTCGAATTGTTTTATTTATTTATTTGGATTCTTAGCGTTCCTGATTAATTCTTGTTTGGTTTTGTTAAATTCGTTTTCATCATTATCATTAATTATCAATTATAGATGTCGTATGACTTCAATTATTGAAAATTAGTGTCCTTTATGACTTCTTTCAAATTGTTACTATCAAATTGGCTCTTAATAAACCATGTGATTAGTCTAGCCAATCCAAATCATTAAAGCTAGTCAATGCTCATTTAGCAAGTCGGAGAGATAACTTGTTTGTTGTTACCTTCTTTATAACAAAAGGAATCAGCCCAACCATGAATTCAAAGAACATGAAGTACTATTGCAATGATAATAGCTGGACACGAGCCCAACTAACTCTGGTTGGTCCCACGTTCAAAAATGAACATTTACTATAACAAAAATGAAATTTTCTAAATGAACATATTTTACAATAATTTTGTATTTATCAATAATCAAATGTTCATTTTCATGCAATACGATGTTTATTTTAAAAAAATAAATGTTCATTTTTATACAGTATGATGTTCATTTTTATAAAAAAATTCGTCTAACATTCACCCTAAGTTCGCTCCTTATTTTTTAGAGTATATAAAGACATTCTTAGAATCTTAATTCAATCAACTCCAAAGTCCAAATTGATAATCATCGTACAGCTCGCTCCTACACCATCTTCCCATTAGCAACAATTATGATACTACCACCATGCCAGTACCTCAAAGTCACATTGTCACAAATTTCAAGTTCCAAAGTTACCTAATACTCGTATATTACAGCATAATTAGGTGCCAAAAATCAACATCTTCTACTTAAATTCACATCAATTAGCACTAAAAGTTTCTAAGTCGCATCAAAATTATCATATTACCTTCAACATTTAACTATTTCAATAAACAAAGCTACATTATACTCCGTATATCAAATTTGTTGAGCATACAATGCAAATAATCAACATCAAAACCCACTAACTTTACTTCCTTAAATCATATTCTACTTAACTCCCAACACAAATAATACCTCATATAATAACTCAAAAACTAAAAATTTGACATAATATACTATATTTGACATAGGCCATGTTTGGTAAATGGCTTTTTGGTGGCTTTTTGGTTAGCTTTTGGTTTTTGGCTTTTTTATGAGGTCAAACAGCCAAAAAAATGTGTTTGGTAATTGGCTTTTTAGCCAGTGAAAAAGCTGGCTTTTAAGCCAAAATGAAAAAGCTGCTTTGAGTAGCTTTTTTGTTTGCTTTTGGCTTGTTGGCCCACAAATTATCTAATAAACAGCCAACTACCAACAATTAATTTACCAAACACCTTTATAAACAGCCAGTTTTAACCGCCAATTTCAAAAGCCATTATAAACAGCCAAACATACCAGCTGGTCAAACAAGCCAAGTGAACCAGCCAACAGCCAACCGCCAACAGCCACTCGCCAAACAAGGCCATAGAAAGACTTCAATTCATGTGCAATTCCCCTTCAAGTGTTAATAGAATCTGCAAATGCATGAGGTAAAAAAAAATAAGTAGATGCGCAAATGAGTCCATATGTTCATGAACACGGAATAATGCAAACAAAGAAGCTGGTTCATAAATTGTTCATTAAGGAAAAAAAAAAAAACAAAAAACTTCAAGCTTGTTTGATAAACAAGCCTACCTCAAACAACTTGGTGTCTGACTCACTATAGCTCATGAGTCATGACTAACTCAATCCAATCAACACAAAATACAGAGCGTTTCAAATAACTCCAATCGTGCCCACGAAGGAGCTTATTTCAAGCTCAAGAAAAAGCCCAACTCAAAGCCAGAACCCGAACTCAAAACTTTTCCTACAGATCCCTAAAGACCTATAGTGCCCCAGCTAAGAAATGAAGCCAAAAACTTTCAGACGTTCAGTGATCCAATCCAGCCCTGCCTACAGCCATGACATGTGATACTACATAAAACAATACACTACAACGCAAGCACATTATTGACGTTTTTAATTAGATTTGTTAAGACACTACGCCAGTGCATCCAAATTACATCTACACTTCATCATTTGTACAAATGTGCAGACTACACTGATAGACAATATACCAAATAAACAGGGAGAGATGATTTGCAAAGGAAACCAACTCACATGCAGCATTGCAGCATTAAGCCTATTATTCTTGGAAGATCATGCAAAAGGAGAATTTTAGTCAGAACTACTAAGCCAAAGATTACAGAGTTCATGAAAATTGTCAGAAGCAAAGCTAAAATTAACTATAAGGGAATGAAGCACCAACAGCCAAGCCTGGACTATAAAAGAAAATAATGAAAATAGTAAACCTGCACCAATAACATATCATTGCATAATTATGTCATAGCTGATTCAATAAGTCTATTTATGATCTGAAGTACCTCCTATTGTCTCTGAATAATACCCCCAAGTAATAAAAGTCTTTGTTATCAAATCAAACATTAGTCCTGATTGTACTCCATGCATATGCCTTTTTAAGGTTTAATTTCACTGCGACTCCATCACTACAGTTCAAGAAACACACATTTTTTTTTATAGATAAACACAGATAAGTAAAGAATGCTATCCTAGTTTCTTGTTCTTCCTGTAACTGCTCTGTTTATAAGAAAGAAATAAATTGCAAATTTTAAAAAAGCCACTTATTTTTTGTCAGACTTGTCTGTTATCCCCATATGTTAAGCCCTTCCCGCCCCTCACCTCCCCCTCCCAACAAAAAAATATAACAGAAAAACACTACTTCTATGCACAAAATACTAGGAGCACAAAAATATTACCTTCTGAAGGTCTAACAACGATGAGTGAGGTCCTTGTTCGAAGACAATAGACCAACAAACAATGAGGAAGTGTCTGCATCAGCTTCAAATCCTTTTCCAACCATAAGATCACGATAGTATAAAGCATTTGACAAGTCATTATTGATTATATAACCTCTAATGATCGTAGTATAGGTTCGATCATTAGGGGGGCAACCATCTTCCTCCATTATCCTCAACACTTGAGGAACTTCACTCATAAGCCCTTTCTTGCAGAAACCTTTGATCAATATATTGTATGTTATGATATCAGGTTGCAGACCCTTTGATACGAGATCGGAGAAGAAATTTGCCGCATCTTCAAGTTGTCCAGCCTCACACAAGTTGTTCATCAGGATATTGTAGAGGGAAATTCCAGGCTTAACACCATTATCTTCCATTTCTTCAAGCAATTTCACTGCCTCATCAAGTTGCGCACTTTTGCAAAGGCTGTCAAGCAAGGAGGCATAGGTGACAACATTTGGAGTAACTCCGGCAGCTAGCATTTCCTTGAACAATTTACGTGCATTTGGGATTCTATTGGCTTTGCACAGCCCATCAATAAGGGTGTTATAGGAAACAACATCAGGAGCTATCCCTCTCCGAAACATTTCATAGAATATGTTAAGGGCCTTGTCAATGTTTTTAGCCTTGCAATATCCATTAATCATAGTGCTGAAACTGACAAGATTAGGCTCACAACCATTTTCATCCATGAGAACGAGTAGGTTCTCTGCATCCTCCATCTGACCGCACAAACAATATCCATCCAGTAATGCATTATAAGTAATGATGTCAGGAGTCACACCTATCTCAATCATGTGCTTTAGAATGGACTGAGCTTGATCAACACAACCATCTTTACAAAACATGTCAACCAGCATGTTGTAGGTCATAACATTAGGTGATATGTTGCTCTCTAACATCTCAGTCAACACACGCTGAGCCTCATCCCCACAGCCGGAATTGTAGAGGCCTCGAATCAAGGAATTATAAGTGACAACATCGGGTTTAATGCCCTCGGTTTTCATAGAGGAGAACAGGTCTAGGGCCTGTTGTTGATAAGTATATTAGGTGACTCGTACTTCGTAGCTTTGTCCGCCCGATCGGGCGGACATTGCCCGGTCTGACCGGGCGGAAGAAGAAGAGGTGCCTGGCAAATTCGTTGAAGAAGCTGCTCTCGCGCCCGACCGGGCGAGCCTTCGCCCGACCGGGCGAGCCTTCGCCCGATCGGGCAGACCTTGCCCGGTCTGACCGGGCGGTGGGGGTTGGATACGTTGAAGCATTCGTATGGAGTCTTCTTCTCGCGCCCGATCGGGCAGACCTTGCCCGGTCTGACCGGGCGGAGAAGGAAAAATACGGAACGCGGATTTTGCGGTTTTAGGTTATCTTATTTTATTATCTTTTTGCCCAAGTATCTTTTAATTAGGGATTAATATAAAACCTCCCTAATATCAGTATTAGGGTAAAGAGAGACAGAGTGAAAGCCGTTCTTGAGAAATACAAGAATCATCTTTGTAATCTTTGCAGTTTATAGTGAAATCATTCGATCTCGGTGCCCGTGGACGTAGCTATCACATCGATAGTGAACCACGTAAATTCTTGGTGTTGTTCTTATTGTTTGCATTGAATTTCTTTATTGTTTTCTTGTTTGTTTACGACCTTTGCTTCCGCTGTCGCACAACAATTGGTATCAGAGCTCAGGTTCAATCCTTGGAGAGTTTCTTGAAGATAACAATGGCAGGAGATTCAACAATAAGAATTGAGAAGTTTACCGGGAAAAATAGTTTCGGGCTATGGCAAATTAAGATGAAGGCTCTGTTAAAACAACAGCAGATATGGCGTCCGTTGGCTCCAAAGAGTACTACTTCGGAGTCAGGAGACGGACCGACTGACTCGCAGTTAGAAGTTATGGAAGAGAAGGCACACTCTACCATATTACTTAGTCTTGATGATCAAATCATCACGGAGGTTGCTGATCAGGAAACGGCGGCTGGATTGTGGCTGAAGCTGGAGTCATTGTATATGACTAAGTCGTTGACCAACAAATTATTACTGAAACAGCGGTTGTTTAGCCTCCGGATGCAGTCAGGTACTTCCTTACGGGAACATCTAGAAAAACTTAACTCTATTTTGCTTGATTTACGTAATTTAGATGTTAAAATTGATGATGAGGATGCTGCGTTGATTTTACTTGTATCTCTACCGTCTAGCTTTGAGAATTTTGTAGAGTCTTTTGTTGTTGGTAAGGATTCTATAACCTTAGAAGAAGTGAAGGCAGCACTTCATACTAGGGAACTCAGAATGAAAGCTACGAGTGATAATGGGGATAATGGTAGTGGGTTGTTTGTTAAGTCCGGAAAGTCTAAAAAGAATAAGGGGTTTAACAAGGGGAACAATGCTGGGTCGGGTGCTGGAAACGGCAAGGATGGATCTAGTAAAACTACTACTAAAACATGTTATTACTGTAAAGAACCGGGTCACTTTAGGAATAATTGTCCGGTGAGGAAAAACAAGTCCCAGGCTGCTGTAGTTGAAGAGAAACCGAATGAGAGCTATAATTCAGAGGAAGATTTAGCATTAGTCAGTTCTGCTAGGTCTGATGATTTATCTGATAACTGGGTTCTAGATTCGGGGTGTTCGTTCCATATGTGTCCACGTCGAGATTGGTTTGATACATATGAACCTCGCAATGGGGGTATGGTTATAGTCGGTAACAATGCTCCATGTAAGGTCACAGGTATTGGTTCCATGAGGTTGAGGACTGTTGATGGGCGGAGGTTAACTTTGACTAATGTACGGCATGTTCCTGCTTTAGGAAAGAATCTGATTTCATTGGGTACCCTGGATGAATTGGGGTACAATGGTGTGTTTTCAGATGGGGAGTTGTGTATTTTCAGAGGTTCTGAGTTGGTACTTAAGGGTATCAAAAGGAACACCCTCTATGTTTTTGAGGGTGTTACACTGCCTAGTTCTGCGGTTTGCGCATCTGTATCTCACCAGGAGATGACTAAGATTTGGCACATGAGGCTTGGTCATATGGGGGAGAAGGGGATGCAGCTATTGTCCAAGAGGGGTCTTCTATCCGGGGTCAAGGTTGCCAACCTTGAATTTTGTGAGCATTGTGTGTTTGGTAAGAAACACAGGTCAAAGTTCAGCAAGGGTGCTCACATTACTGATGCAGTGCTCGATTACATCCATTCAGATTGCTGGGGTCCATCTAGAGTTGAAGGTATGGGAGGTTACCACTATTTTGTGTCATTTGTTGATGACAAGTCCCGATACACATGGCTTAGGTTGCTTAAGTCAAAGGATGAGGCCTTCAAAGTTTTCAAGCAATGGAAAGCTTTGGTGGAAAATCGACAAGGAAGGAAGATCAAGAAGCTACGAACGGACAATGGGCTAGAGTTTTGCAAAGACGAGTTTAATCAGTTCTGTGCAGATGAGGGTATAGGTCGGCATCATACTGTCAGGAAGACACCACAGCAGAACGGTGTAGCAGAACGGGTTAATCAGACACTGCTAGAGAGAGTCCGATGCATGCTCTCCAATGCAGGGCTTGGGAGGAGGTACTGGAGTGAAGCTGTGTTAACAGCTTGTTATGTCATTAATAGGGGTCCTCATTCTGGAATTGATTCCAAGATTCCGTTTGAGATCTGGAGTGGTAAGTTGCCTAATTTTTCGAATTTGAAGATTTTTGGTTGTGTTGCTTATTATCATGTTATTGAGGGTAAGCTGGATCCACGAGCCAAGAAGGGGTGTTTTGTTGGGTACGGGGATGGTGTGAAGGGGTTTAGAATTTTTTCACCTTCGGAGGGTCGGGTCATTCTTAGTAGGGATGTTACTTTCGATGAAAACACCATGTATTCAATTAAAAATGCAGAGATTTCAGATTTGAGAAGGGAAGGAGACAATTTATTACAGACAGATGGGGTACTTGAGGTACATCAGTCTACCATTGCTGATTTACCTCGGGTACAATATATTGATGATGATGCTGATGTTCCAGTGCCGGGTACTCCTGAACCTGAGATTACTCCTACTCATTCTAACTCTGGGGATGAGGTGGAGCAATCTAATCAGGGGTCATCTAGTCAACCTGACACCATTCTTGAGATGCCTAAACGAGTTATCAAGAAGCCTGTTAGATTGATTGAAGAGATGGAGGGAAGAAATTGCTGTGTTGATGCGATGACAGGTTATGCATTGAGTGTAGCTGATGATGTAGAGTCATTTGAACCTGCCACATATAAACAAGCAATTAGTTGTAGTGAGTCTGCGCAATGGCTTGCCGCAATGGGTGAAGAGATGCAGTTCCTTTACAAGAACAGAGTGTGGGAACTGGTAAAGGTACCGGAAGGGAGGAAGCTTGTGGGTTGTAAATGGATTTACAAGAAGAAAGAAGGGTTGTCGGAAACTGAGCAAATACGTTTTAAGGCTAGGCTAGTTGCTAAGGGGTTCAGTCAGGTAGAAGGGGTTGATTTTGTTGAGATATTCTCACCTGTGGTTCGACATACTTCTATCCGTGTGTTATTGTCAATTGTAGCACATTTTGATCTTGAGCTGGAGCAGTTGGATGTTAAAACGGCTTTCCTTCATGGCGATTTGGAGGAGGAGATTCTGATGAAGCAGCCCGAAGGATTCGAAGTTCCTGGAAAGGAACACTATGCCTGCAGATTGCTAAAGTCATTGTATGGACTTAAGCAATCCCCCCGACAGTGGTACAAAAGGTTTGATTCTTTTATGGTTTCACAAGGTTTTGACAGGAATTCATATGATTGCTGTGTGTATCATAGTAAGCTGGATAATGGTTCCATGATTTATCTTTTGTTATATGTTGATGACATGTTGGTTGCCACAAAGAATAAATCTGATATTGCTAGATTAAAGGAGATGCTTAACTCGGAGTTTGACATGAAAGACTTGGGTGCAGCTAGGAAGATTTTGGGTATGGAGATCTACAGGGATCGGGCTAGAGGTAAGCTTTTCTTGACTCAGAAAAGCTACATTGAAAAGATTTTGTCTCGTTTTGGGATGGAAAAATCGAAGCCTATAAGTACGCCAACTACTGTTAGTTGTAAGTTGTCTTTGTCTATGTCACCTCAATCAGAGGAGGAGTTGTCTTATATGTCTAGAGTTCCATATGCAAACGCGGTTGGTTGTTTGATGTATGCTATGGTCTGTACTAGGCCGGATATTGCGCATGCTGTTAGTGTTGTAAGCAGGTTTATGGCTCAACCTGGGAGGGAACACTGGCAAGGGGTGAAAAGGATTTTTCGCTACCTGAGAGGGACAACTGATATTGGTCTTGTGTACGGGAATGGTAGGGAATGCTTGGTCACTGGGTACAGTGATTCTGATTATGCAGCTGATGTGGATACCAGGAGGTCTGTGACTGGTTATGTGTTCACTTTGGGTGGTTCTGTGGTTAGTTGGAAGTCTACATTGCAGTCATCAGTTACGTTGTCAACTACTGAAGCTGAGTATATGGCTTTAACTTCTGCAGCTAAGGAGTCTATTTGGCTCAAAGGCCTAGTAGGTGAACTGGGTATTGCACAGGATTTTGCTACAGTGTATTGTGATAGTCTAAGTGCGATTTGCTTAGCTAAAGATCAAGTACACCATGATCGGACGAAGCACATTGATGTCAGGTATCATTTCTTGCGTACTGACAAGAGGATTAAGGTGAAGAAGATTGGGACTGCTGACAACCCGGCTGATTTCTCCACTAAGCCTGTTCCGTTTAGCAAGTTTAAACATTGCTTAGACTTGCTAAATATTGATTACTACGTGATGTAGTAGGCCCTGAGGGGCGAAGTTGGGGAGCTCCTGGTGTAGGTGTGTTGGCATTAAGGTGGAGCTTGCCCGGGGCTTGTGATGCAGGTGGAGCATTATGAGTTGTTATACTTGGAGACGAGTATGTGATGGGTCTTGGTTGAAGACTTATCGGGATGTATGGCTTATGCATGAGTCCTGCATCGGGTTTGGCTTGAGATGTTTTTTCACTATGTCTTGATGGGGTCGTTTGCTGACTACGAGTTCTCGTCAAGGTGGAGATTGTTGATAAGTATATTAGGTGACTCGTACTTCGTAGCTTTGTCCGCCCGATCGGGCGGACATTGCCCGGTCTGACCGGGCGGAAGAAGAAGAGGTGCCTGGCAAATTCGTTGAAGAAGCTGCTCTCGCGCCCGACCGGGCGAGCCTTCGCCCGACCGGGCGAGCCTTCGCCCGATCGGGCAGACCTTGCCCGGTCTGACCGGGCGGTGGGGGTTGGATACGTTGAAGCATTCGTATGGAGTCTTCTTCTCGCGCCCGATCGGGCAGACCTTGCCCGGTCTGACCGGGCGGAGAAGGAAAAATACGGAACGCGGATTTTGCGGTTTTAGGTTATCTTATTTTATTATCTTTTTGCCCAAGTATCTTTTAATTAGGGATTAATATAAAACCTCCCTAATATCAGTATTAGGGTAAAGAGAGACAGAGTGAAAGCCGTTCTTGAGAAATACAAGAATCATCTTTGTAATCTTTGCAGTTTATAGTGAAATCATTCGATCTCGGTGCCCGTGGACGTAGCTATCACATCGATAGTGAACCACGTAAATTCTTGGTGTTGTTCTTATTGTTTGCATTGAATTTCTTTATTGTTTTCTTGTTTGTTTACGACCTTTGCTTCCGCTGTCGCACAACACCTGTTGTAACAACCTGTCCTTACAAAGACTATAGATAATAGTGTTGTATAAGACAATGTCAGGCTTAAAAGGAGACTGAGATTGCATTTTGTTAAGCAAAGTGAGAGCAGACGTATTGTCGCCAATCCTACAAAGTCCTTTGACAATAGTACTATACGTAATTAAGTTGGGTTGGAAACCAAGCTTGAGAATTTGATTCAACAAATGAGCAGCTTGGGGGAGCTTATCAGAGTGAATATAACCATTAATTAAGGTATTAAAAATGACAGAATTAAGAGGATAACCAAGCTTAAGTCTTTTAGCAAGGAGAGAGAATCCGAAATCAACTCTACCCAAATGACAGTAGCAATTAGCAAGAATACCAATGGAATGCATATCGGGTTTAATACCATACAATTCAAGCTGCCTGAAGAGAGAGATGATGGTGGAATGAGGTTCAAGTCGTTTCAATTTGGAAATGGCGGTGAATAGTTGATTGAAATACACAACAGAAGGAAGAGGGCGCAAATTAATCATTTGATTGAAGAGTGAAAGGGGGGATTTGAGGTCTTGAAACCCTAATTTTGATCGTTCAGTAATAGATTGAAGAAACAAGTCACGATTATAAAAAGTATGAGCATAATTAGGGTAATGATGGGAACAATTTAGGAAATGAAAATGAAAATGAAAATGAAAATGAAAGGGGGGAAACTTGAAGAAATGAGAAGGAGAGAGAGAAATACCGCCATGGGAGAAGGATACAGAAGCAGAAGCAGCAGCAGCTCTGAAACCCATCTTCTTCAGACAATTTTTTTTTTGTTTTTTCTTCAGACAAACTAATACTCGGTAAATGTGTCATATTACACCTACCAAAAAAATAAGAGTAAAGACTAAATACGGTCCCTGAACTTTCGTATTACGCTCACTTTTAGTCCATCAAAAACTATTTGTGCCCTTTTAGTCCCTCAACCACCTTCTTTGGTGTTTGTCAGCCAAAAGTTGAAGGACTTTGATGACTAAGCAAGAGTTTAGGGACCATGTCATGACTCATTTTTTTTTTCTTAAGAATTTATTAAAAAATTAATCTTTTAATATGTTTTTAAACCCAGCCTCCTCTTCTCATTCTCTCTCCTCTCCATCTCCTCAGTTTCCTTCTCTCTGATCTCCGCCTCCCTCGTCCCTCCTCCCACTTTCTCTATCATATCCGCCTCCCCCCTCCCTTCTCATTCTCTGTCCTTGGTTTTTGAAGTCCAGCGCCACCCACCCCCAGGGCTTTTGATTGGATTCGGGCGCTATCAATTAATGGTTTTTTAGGTCGAATTCGACCATGAAAATTCCAGATCTGAGGTTTTCATGGTCGAATTTAACCATATAAACCAAACGTTGAAAATTTCATAAGGTACGTTGAGGAATTTTTTTTTAATTTTTTGGGTAGTGATGGTGCTTGTGGTGCGTGTGGTGGGTGTGGCTGTGTGATGGTGCTGGTGGTGGTGCGTGTGGTGCTGGTGGTGGTGCGTGGCTTAGGCTGGGTTTGTGGTGGTTGTAGGCTTAGGCGGGTTTAGGGTTAGGGTGGGGATTTCTTGATTTTCTTTCTTCAGATCTCAAAAATTCAAGCCATTTTTTAAGGAATAAATATGGGTGGTACAGTGGTGGTGGTGGTTTGGATGATGGCAGTGGGGTGGTTGTTTAATTTAGAAGAGAGTCGAGTAGCAGCGGGGGTGGTTTAGAAGAGGGCGGGTACGGTGGTGGTTTAGATGGGGATGGCAGCAACGACGGTGGTCTAGATGTGGCGACGGCAACGAGTGTCGAGGGGTAGTTGAGATTAGGGCAGCAGGATCGACGGTGATGGTGGTCTGTGAAGTTTATCGTGATTGAAAAGTGTTTGGCAACTGATAATGTTTGATTAATTTATTTAACTATTTAATTATCATGATTTAGAAGCAGAGGAAGTATGATTTTGCCCAATTTGTTGAATAATTTGTGTAGAATTCATGATTTTGTGATAAATTAGGGGTTTTGATTTGTATGATCGATTGATTTGTGGAGTTTGTTGAATTTTTATGGTGCTGGTGGTGCGTGTGGTGGGTGTGGCTGGTGGTGTTGGTCGTCGTCGCCGGCGCTGGCTGTCGGCAGCGGGAGGGTAAAGGTGGCTGGCCTTTTTAAGGGTGGCTGGTTTTTTATTAATATTTTTTAAACAAATAATTAAAAGATTTATTTTTTAATAAATTCTTAAGAAAAAGAAAAACAAAAAATAAAATGAGTCATGGTCCCTAAACTCTTGCTTAGTCATCAAAGTCCCTCAACTTTTGGCTGACAAACACCAAGACTAAAAGGGCACAAATAGTTTTTGATGGACTAAAAGTGAGCGTAATACGAAAGTTCAGGGACAGTATTTAGTCTTTACTCAAAAAAATAAATATGGCATTTTACTGTTTTTTTTTATTATTATTTATTTAAAAAGAAAAATAGGAGTAAAATGCATTTTAGGGGACTCACCTTCCATACTTTTCATCGTTTGGGGACTCGCCTTTCACTTTTCATCGTTCGGGTATTACCCGTCACCGGAATTCAAAAATCCGGTCACTTAATAAAAAATTCTCCTAAATTTGTTAATTACAATTGTTAAAGAGATAAAATTTAGTCTTTGGCTCTACAAAAAAATACATTGCATAAGAAAACTCCAAAATGTTAAGAGTATGCAGAGCCCAAAATGCGTAAATTGTAACTAGATAACCTCAAAATGTTAAACATTTCTGCAAAAATAATTAAAAATGTATATAAGTAATGAGAATTATTTTTAATAGCAATAATATTTTGATTAAAAAAAAAAAAAAACCAATAGCATATACGAAAGTATTATACAGAGCCAATGGGTTTACCTCAAGTTTGATTTATTATGTAACTTCTCATATCATTGATTGAGATTATGGTTGTAAGGTCCAATATTTTTGTTAGCCATATCCTTGCATTAAGAGAACAAATTATCAATTAGCATATAGTCTATATATTTTACTTGAACTGCATACCGAATTGACATGAGCGGAGCAAAAAAAACAAGAAAATAATACCTGTAGTGCTTGAGTTGTTATGTAATTTCTACCATTCAGAGAAATGAAGCTACGGTTTGATGAGGAAATGCTACCTTGAGTCAATTGTGATTGCTGGGTATTGTTATGTATTATTGTAGTTGACTGCAAAGTTTGCTCTCCACCATAATCAGTATAGTAAGCAGCTTGCCTCCTAAATTCATTGATGGGGAAGAAAAAAAGCATATGAACTTACTGAGATTTAACACACACACACAAAAAAAAAAAAAAAAAAAAAAAAAAAAAAAAAAAAAAAGAGGATCCAGTAGCATTTTGTAAGGGTGTTTGTTTATTTCCTTTTTGTTGAAGTTGCGTGAGTGGTTGAGTTGAACTTGGTAATTCGTCTCTGAAGCTACAACTTCTTTTGTTATGTCCTTGCTCTCCACATACACTACGTTTCATAATCATGCCAGTCTTCCTCATTTTACCATTGCTAGTAACTTCTCCAATCTGTTTTTTCTTTTGTGGTCTACCTCTAACCTTTTTTAATGGAGGGGCTAAAATTGATTCAGCTTGTGAAATTGGCCATTCATTAGGTCCATTCAAAGGCTCCATAAGAAACTCATAAGCCTTCAAATATTCAAATTCGGTAAAAGACTAAAAGAGCTTGCAACATACTGCTCGGGATGTTCCACGGACTTCCAAATGGCAGCAATTGCATGTTTACATGGTATCCCACTTAGTTGCCATGTATTGTAATTGCAAGTTCTACCTCTTAGATCAACGACATATTTTGTTTGAGTTATCCCATCTCTCACACCAAACTTAAACCTTCCATCCCAAAATGCAGACCACCCCCTTGACTTTAACTTATTATCTTCCGAGTTGAATTCTTGGACAAATAAAACACTCTTTCTTTTCAATAAAATCTCCTTTCTTTTCAATAAAATCTCCATTAAACTCTCTCTTATGTCTTCCAGCATAGTAATTATTGGCTTATGCCTAGAGTTAAGTATATATGCATTGAAAACTTCACTCATATTATTGTCGATGCTATCACAACAAGATTGTGGTGTGTAAAATGCTTTACACCATTTCTTTTAGTTTCTATCCAATGAATCATTTGCAGCAGCCTCTGAAACTTTTCGAAATGCTTCAATGTTTGCTTGGAAGACATTTTCAGTTGTGCTTTTGGCAATCCTCCAGAACCATTTCCTAAGTTCCTACCCCCCACCAAACACATCCCTAAAATTACAATAAACGTGTCTAGCACAACACCTAACTTTTGCTTGATTCCATATCTCACTACTAGCTTGAATCAAACCTTTTTGTTGATCTGACATTACTGTATACCCTGCGCCACTAGTTCTACCTAAGTCTTGAGATAATAATTCTAAAAACCAACCCCAACTATCACCACTTTGAACCTCCACAATAGCCCATGCAATTGGAAACATTTTGTTGTTTTCATCCCTCCCCAGAGCCACTAAAAGCTGTTCACCAAATGGACCTTTCAAAAAACAATCGTCTGGTGAAATAAATGGTCTACGTCCATTAAGAAATCCCTTTCTCAGTGCTTCAAAACAAAAGTACACACGTTGAAATTCTTGGTTTTTCAATTTCAAAATAACCGTGTTGTTAGAGTTTGGTCGTAAAATCTCTAGTGCATATCTATGTAATAACCCATATTGCTCTCTATACTCACCAAGAATTAAAGCATGTCCCTTTTTTCTAGCTCTTATGAAATTTTTATTCCTCAATCACACCATACGTGCTCTACAATTTCTCACAATCTCATGTAAGGGTTAATCTTAAACTTACTTGCATAAGTTGAAGCAACCCATGAAGAGGAAATCAATGTCACCTTGTTCTTTCTACCACAAATGTGCTCATCTTGATGTGTCTTTGTCTGAAATGTTCTTTTACCAGGAGCCCAAGACGCCCAAAGTCTCCATTTGCAACCCTGTGATTTACATTCAGCCCCAATCTTATAATTTTTATTTGTACCGAAATGCACATCTCTCCCATGGAAAATACAGTAGTCTGTAATTGCCTTTTTCAAATATTGAGCATTATCAAACTCTTGTCCGACGTATAACTTAGTATCCTGAGGTGTTGTCCCTTGTTTGTACTTCTTGAAAGTAGAAGATTTTTTTGTATTTTAGACGGAATAGGTATTATATGCCCACAATCTTCCTTATCAGATCATCAGGACTATCCAAGTCAGTAGAATCCTCATATTCACTATCTATTTCTTCAGGCTGCTTTCGTTTGTTCTCTGTCACTCTTTTAAGTTGTCTAAGTTCTTCTTCATAATCCCTATCAATCTTCTTAGCTTCTCCTATTTTTTCTATAGCAACAACAACCTCTTCATCATCCATATCATTGCCGTTTTCATCATAATCAATTGCATCATCTATTGTAGGCATGACAGGACTCTTAAAAGCATCCTCATCATCATGTTGTAACAACTTTGTAAAGCTCATTTTGCTTCCCACATATAACTCTTCATCAAAAATATAATATCAGTTACTTCATTTTCACAATAAATACGAATCAACCAAGAGACTGATGAAAGGATCAAAGGTAGCTTCTTCATATCCAAGGTACCTAATACCATCAACCATAGATTTTCTAGGATCCAAATAATGCAACTTGCTTAGATTAGTGTACCCCAAATTTGATACTTCCTCCATAAGGATACTATTCACTAATCTTCTTTGACCATCATTTGTAATTTATCTATTGGGAAAAATATAGTCACGTGGGATCTAGTTAGATTCATCTCGAAATTTACTTGTTAAATATCAAATTTTTATAATTTTTACTAAAGTAAAATTGAAGTTATTAATAGCTAAAGTAATGCATTGGGAAATGGGAAGTGTGAAATCCCTCCTGGTGTAATAAAAAAAGAACGGAGGAAGTATTAAGAGTAAAGCATACAACTACTCCCTAAACTTAGCCAAATGTTGCACTTTACTCACTAAACTCTTAAAAGTTGCAATTTACTCACTACTCAGGTGGTTGGAGGTCATTTTTCAGGTAGTAACCTGATATAGCAGGTTAACTCCCTAAACTTAGCCTAAACTATTATACTAATAGGTAAACTCCCTAAACTTTGATAGTTTTTTAAAATATTTTTTTAATTTAACAATCTAATCATACATTTGTAAGCTAATGGGAACTAACTAATTTTTTGACTTGGAAAAAAAATTTATTTTTTCATTTTTTCCTTTGCACTACTTTGGTTCGTTTTTTTTAGAAAAAATAAAATTAGATGATCCAATTAACATCAGAGTAGAAAGAATGATTTACCAAATCAAACAATTAGGAATCATTGTTCTTCGAACAAGATGAGCATATTCATTGTGTGCCATTATATATCACATATTAATTAGTTTGGTTGTCTTTTCTTCAAAAAAAAAAATGTTTGAATGTTTGATTTATTATACACATTAAACTCAACAAAAGTTATAATTAGCAGACTTTAGTAGAGAACCTAGTACTAAAAATCCCTTATCGCCTCCTTATAAAAAAAAACTCTCATTGTCGTATGAATTTGCAGTTGCGTGCGTTTATTAAAAAAAAAACTTAAAGTTCCAAAATTTGTGAAACGAACATGATTTAGAAAAAAAAGTTAAGAATTTTTTTGTGATGTTGAAATTAAGATTAATAGCGCGGTTGTTTACTTATATTAGTACGTGGCTATAAAATATTCTAACTAAAACAACAACAAGAAAAAAAAAAAAAAAAAAAAAAAAAAAAAACCAAAAATATATATTAAAAAAAACCAAAAATATTGAACTATAGTTGTTGGAGTATATATATAGCTGTTGTTAGAATTTTATTACATAATAATCGTTTTTTAATAATAATAATAATAATAATAATAATAATAATAATAATAATAATAATAATTCTTAACTATAGTTCACTATTTTATTAAAAAACGATTATTATTATTATTATTATTATTATTATTATTATTATTATTATTATTATTATTATTATTATTATTATTATTATTATTATTATTAACAATAGTTCAATAATATTTGTTACAGAGTATTATTGTTTTTGTAATGACTAGCTAATTAAAAATCATGTGAGGAAGTTTAGGGAGTTGTCAGAAAGTTTAGGGAGTTCTTACATTTTACCTGTTATTGAAGGTCAAAACTCAAGTGAGTGAGTGATTTGCAACTTTTGAAAGTTTAGTGAGTGATCTGCAACTTTGTGCAAAGTTTAGGGAGTAGTTGTGTAGTTTACTCGAAGTATTAATATCTTAAGATGTGATGCATTCAAATCCTCAGCCACATCATTAAATATATTTGTAAACCCACCCTGGTATTCCACAACACCATGAACTAGCTTCCAACATCCACCAAGATGAACAACAATGCAAGGTTTCGGTTTCATATTAATTAGTACCTATTATTTACATAAGATAAATAGAGTATATAGTTATGAATTAATTAAAACTTATAGATTATCAATATTGACATACGGAACAATTTTAGACCAAATAAGCCCCTTTTAGAATTCATAGCCCAAACATTTTTTATTATACAAATTGCATATCCAAAAGCCTATAAACTCACCTCTTCTTACTCTGTTTTGTTTTCAATTTTCTTTATCTAATACCATATTCAAGCAAACCACAAAACCCTATCCCACAAAAAATAGGGGGATAAGCATATTAACTATCTTCAATCTATCTCACTAGTACATTGAACAATTTTGCCAAAAAAAATTCAAACATCTCAACAATACCCTAAGCCCTTATCAATTGCATAACACAACCAAAGATAAGATAAAAGTCATCTAATTCCAAAATAAATACCATTTAGATACAATATATACATGTACTGATCAAGAGTAATGGATGATTTTTGAAAGTGTTGGAGAAGCTTTTTCGTCTACTATGGAAGCATTGCTCGTTTGAGAAAATACATGACTACGAGTTGCAAGTTGCTTGACTTTAGTCTAATCTAGGTTATTTTAATTAGCAGTGTTTTATTTTATTAGGAGGAGGAGTATGTGTCATTATTTTTATTTAGCTGTACAAAAAAAAAATTACTTCATCGGAAATTTTTTAATACCTACCGGCAATCCCCAAACGATGAAAAGTAAAAGGTTAGTCCCCTTAATCTCACCGATAAACAATACTCGTAGTCCATACTCGGATCAGTTATGGGTGTGGTTAGGTTCCACCAATCCTCCCAATTGTTGTTGTGGAGGATCAAACGCGAGTCCTTCCTACTAAATGTAATCCACATCACCATTAAATCAACAGCCAATTAATTGATTACTTGTTATTGAGTGGCATATCTATAAACTAATACTATAACAAAACATGTTTACATCATTTTTTGACATATGTCAAGCTAATATTAAAAAATTTCCGCCAAAACAATATACTACCTCCGTTAATAGTTATCTGCAACTTTGGAATATTTTATCTCTCACAAATAATACCCCAAAGTTGCATATAACTATTAACGGAGGTAGTATAATGTCATTTATACTCTTTTTTTTTTTCTTTTTTTTTGTTATTCTACTTAGCTTATTTTATGAAAACAACGTTGTATAATTTTTTTTTTTTTTTAATGGACACGTTGTATAACTTAAATGGCAAAAACATGCTTTATTAATTTAATATAATGTATACTTTTTAAAAATATTTTTAACACACCTAATCAATAATAATTTTTTTCTCAATTTTAATAACTTGGTCTTATTATTTCATTTTTAATTTTAATAATATTAGTAAACTACTCATAAAATTGATTTATATTAAGCCAAAGTACCATATATTTTTTTATCGTAGCCGAGTACCATCATATTTGCTAAAAAGACACAATAATTAATTAGATACTACTCGTTCACTCCTATCAATAATGATCATGTATCACAATAGTCGTTAGTTTGTTACAATCTCAGCCAACATGAAGAAGTTCTGCAACTCTGCAAGACTTGGCTATGGCTAAGCTAATATAATAACGTAAAGCCAAAATCCCTTATTCATTACTCCGTATTTAGTTATTTCTTCTCCCTCGTTTTCTTTACTATACATCGCGATTAGTACCAACTACCAAGTACAATAAAACTGGTGGCATAAACTTAAGCTAAATTTTCCACGTCAATGCTACTACTCGTATCACAATTCACAAGCAGTGATCGTGGTAGATAGTCTATTCAACGATAAGACTACAAGTTATTCAATGACAAGAGTAGGCAGACTAAGGATCTTGTTAGTTGTTAGGATATCTGTTCAAAGCAATGCATGAAAAATTCGCCGCTTCTTTCCCAGTTGATGCAGGAGCTTCCAGCATGTCTGCAAGCTCATTACAAGCATGCTGAAGCTAGCGAGATCCAGCAACACATCAGAGAGTTTACAGTAGCTAGCTTCAACAGTAATTTCCTGCTCAACTAGCACTTTAAAGCTAGTAATGTTCTGATCAACATGCTTATAGATGTTTGCTTGTAGGTTCGAATTAAAGTCTGCTTTTCCACCTCACAAGCTTCTATTGATATTGTACCATCTGAGTCGGATTTACATTCAGCCGATAAACCCAACTGCCGCATCTTCACCACAAGTAGCCAAGTGATCTGAAGTGTGAAGACAAAAAAGGGAAATAAAGTAGTTTTTCTGTGGTACTTGAGTTTTCATGTGCAATTCCCCTTGAAGTCTCTTTATAGAATCTGGAAATGAAAGAGATTAAAGAAAACAAGGTTTGCAAATGTGTCAATACATTCATGAACACCAAACAAACAAACCAAAAAGCTAGTTAAAATATTGTTCGTTAAGGAACAAACAAAACTTCAAGCGCGTTTTAAACAAGCCTACCTCAAACAACTTGGAAGGTTCATGAGTAACTCATCATATGCTACAAGCTCTGCAACATAATATACGCCTATACGGTGTACTGTGTTTCGACTCATGCCAATCATGCTTAAGGAGGAAGCTTATTTTTAGCTCACGAAAATAACCCAACTCAAAGTCATAACCTGAACTCACAGCTCTTCCCTTCAGATCCCCAAACACGTATAGTGCCAGGGAAACAAAACCAAGCCAACAATTTTCTGACATTCAGTGATCCAATCGAACCCTGCCTACTGCCATTATAAATGATCTTACCGGGCACAATGACCAGGGCCCTCAGTGAACAAGCTCCATATAATAGCGTGTACTGAGCACATTTGTAGTCTAATACAATGAAAGCCAAGATTACAGAGTTGTGCATGTAAAATCGCCAGGGATACCATGATACAGACATCAGAAGCAAAGCAAAAAAAAAAAAAAAAGAATGAAACACCAACTGCCAAGTCTGAACTATACAACAAATAACAAAAGTAGTAAAGCTGCAGCAAGCCAGCAATAACATATCATTGCATAATTTATGTCATAGCTAGATTCAACAAGTTTATACATAATCTGAAGTAACCTCTTCTCTTCTCTGTATACCCCAAGTAATAAAAACATTAGCTATCCAATTATAACTTATACCTAAGTGTAAGCCAGAAGTATAGTTGTCACCAAACTCACCATATGGTAGGCCTCTCTACTCCACCCTAAAAAAAAGAATAAGATAAATAAAAGTTCACTACTACTTCACACGAGAATTATGTCAATTGGAGCTAACAACGGTCTGTTATTCATAGATTGTCTAGGAGCTTCGTACTCCATCTCAAACTTCTCTGAAGAGAACATGTACAAGGTCCAAAGCTTTGCAACATTTTAAATGGAATTCATCTGATAAATTTCTGTAGCAGCTTCTTCTTTGAGTCACTCAAGTTATCAGAAGAAGAGAGACCAACAAACAATGACAAAGTGCCTGCATCAGCTTCAAATCCTTTTCCAACCATGAGATCGTAATGGTATAATGCATTTGATACGTCATTATTGAGTATATAGCCTCTGATTAGTGTATTATAGGTTATATCATCAGGTGGGCAACCATCTTCCTCCATTATCCTCAACACTGGAGCAGCTTCAATCATGAGCCCTTTCTTGCAGAAGCCTCTGATTAATATATTGTATGTTATAATATCAGGATGCAGACCCTTTGCTACAAGATCAGAGAAGAGATTTGCTGCATGTTCAAGTTGCCCAGTCTCACACAAGCTGTTCATCAAGATATTGTAGATAGAAATTCCAGGCTTAACACCATTATCCTCCATATCTTCAAGTAAATTCACTACCTCATCACGCCGGGCACTTTTGCAAAGGCAGTCAAGCAAGGAGGCATAGGTAACATCATCTGGAGCAATACCAAGAGCCTGCATTTCCTTGAACAGCTTGCGCGCGAATGGGAGTCTATTGGATTTGCACAGCCCATCGATAAGAATGCTATAGGAAACAACATTAGGAGTTATCCCTCTCTGAACCATATGATGGAATATGTTTAGGGCCTTGTCAATGTTTTTTGCCTTGCAATATCCATTAATCATAGTATTTAAACTGAAAAGATTAGGCTCACAGCCATTTTTGGCCATGATATCAAGTAGGTTTTCTGCATCTTCCATCTGACCACGCAAGCAATAACCATCAAGTAATGGACTGTAAGTAATGATGTCAGGAGTCACACCTATCTCAATCATGTGCTTTAGAATGGACTGTGCTTGATCAACACAGCCATCTTTACAAAACATGTCAACCAGCATGCTGTAGGTCTTAACATTAGGTGCTATGTTGCTCTCTAACATCTCCGTCAACACACGCTGAGCCTCATCCCCACAGCTGGAATTATAGAGGCCTCGAACCAAGGAAGTATAAGTGACAACATTGAGTTTAATGCCCTGAGTTTTCATGAAGGAGAACAGGTCTAGGGCCTGTTGTAACAACCTGTCCTTACAAAGACTATCGATAATAGTGCTGTATAAAACAATGTTAGGCTTAAAATGAGATCTAGATTGCATTTTGTTAAGAAAAGTGAGAGCAGACGCATTGTCGCCAATCCTACAAAGGCCTATGACGATAGTATTATAGCTAACAACGGAAGGTTGGAAACCAAGCTTGACAATTGTATTAAAGAAATGAGCAGCTTCGGAGAATTTATGAGAATGAATATAGCCATTGATTAAGATGTTAAAGGTATAGCAATCGGGGGGATAACCAAGCTTTAGGCTTTTACCTAGGAGAGAGAAGCCCAAATCAACTCTTCCCAGATGACAGTAGCAATTAGAAAGAACACCTAAAGAATGCATATTATGTGAAATTCCAAGTAATTCAATCTTCCGGAAGAGAGAGATAATGGTGGAATGAGGTTCAAGCCGTTTCAATTTGGAAATGGCAGTAAATAACTGATTGAAATACACAACAGAAGGAAGAGGACACAAATTAATCATTTGATTGAAGAGTAAAAGGGGAGATTTAAGATCGGAAAACCCTAATTTTGATTGTTCGGTAATAGATTGAAGAAACAAGTCACGATTATCAAATGTATGAGCATGATCAGGGTAATGATGGGAATACAGTCGGGAATAAAAATGAAAGGGGGAAAAGTTGAAGAAATGAAAAGGAGAGAGAGAAATACCACCATGAGTGAAGAATAGAGAAGCAGCAGCAGCAGCAGCTCTGAAACTCATCTTCTTCCCAACTTTCTTCAGACAGCTTTTTCTTCGCAGCTAACAAACTTCTACTGTCTCTTCATGAATTTTCACTGAGAGAGTAATGACTGATGACTAGAGAGAATACATATTCATCACTTCATCAGCCTGAGTTCTTTTTTTATTTTATTTTTTTTTTTTATTTATTTTTTTTTTTTTTTTTTTTTTTGGTAAAGAGAAGGGTCTACGTACCTAACGGAACTCCTCACAAGTCCTCCTAGTGCTCTTGATAAGGAAATTTCCATGTGCCTCTTGATAAAATTTGATCCTATAACCTTATACGGAGTAGTGAGATAATTGTTAATACTGTAATACTCCATGATACTCGTATTGTTACTATAAAATATTAGTAAACTTGGAGAATCATGACCCTTGTAGCCAAATTAAATTAATAAAGGTTGCCAATACTCAATTTGTATTTGATACCTTCTCTCCATTTGGTGCGATCATACCAATACTAATAAATTGGAACCTATCAAATCTTCGCAGTCTAGTATGCTTGGACGAAATTAGTACTACGATGGGTGACCTCGCTCTTGACAATTATTAAGTTAGAGAGAAACCATCACCATATTCTTATTACTTTATTAGTCCATTCACAATTTCAAACGTGAAATAGAGAGATAAGATTGGTACAAACATATTTTTTTACTAGTCTCACGGCTTCTACTATCCCATCCTGCCTCTAGCCTCTTAGATATTGTATTATAACATATATAGAAGTTGTCATTCCCTCTTTCTCTATTTGTTTGTCTCATATTTCATTTTGGAATGCCTCTCAAATATTGTCCCTTTTCCTAATTCAACAACCTGTCCCCACAGCTAAACTCACTTGCATAACTCATAAAAGTAGAGTTAAGTACAATTGTAGGGACTAAGTTTTTCATTTTTTCACCTTTTGGGACCTAAGTTTTTTTTTTCATCTTTTGGGACCTAGAGTTAAGAATCCGGCAACTTAACTCATCTTTAACTCACCTGTGCAAAAACTTAGTCCCTTTGCATTAAATAACGTGTAAAAAAAAACAGAATTCATTGATAAAAACATAATCCCTTCATTAAATAATTCTAAACAAAAAAACATAGACCCTTCATAATTTCTAATTTCTGTCAAAGCAATTCAGTACAATTTTTTTCAACGAACAGAAATTGAACATCCAGTTTAGTTTAAAGAACACATGGAGCTCCATTATCTCTTCCATGTTCAACACAGGGTGGGTTTCCCTCGGCCCGAACCGTATCATTCCCCTCCGTCCCCTACACACATTGGCTGCCGAAAATCTATCTTCAGGACTAAGTCTTGAAAAAACATTGACACTCATGACATCCTCCAATGACAACACAAGGTGAGCATCCTCAAGACCGTCCATTTTCTGCTACAAACACCAAACACATACAATTTTTAGAGTCTTACACTCACACTTTGTTTTTGTGTCAAAACCCTAACCAACAACACCATTTGAAACAAAAACACTATAACGAACCAAGTACAAATCAAATAAACATCATCCCTCATAAAAACACACATTAAACAACCACATCCAAACAATCAAACCATAATTGTAAAAAATAAAAAAATAAAAAAAAAATATCAAACCTTAAAACCTAATTACCAACACTTCAAAATTCAAACAAAATCATCGAAAAAAACAACCAAAATGCAAGCTAAACATAGTTACCTCAGTTTTGTTGAAGAATCGAGTGACAATTATGGCTTTGATCAAGTAAGATTGCAAAGAAAATTCAGGAGAAAAAGGGTTTCTTCGAACAAGAACAGAGTGAGAAGTAGAAAGGGCGGGAATAAGCTCTCACTCTCTCTCCTACCTCATAAAAAGCTTCCCACATACGCTTCCTATACCCACGCAACCACGTGTCCTTATTTGGAAGGCCGCCAATCCAATCGACATGACAAATTCTTTTAGGGGTCTAAGTTATTATAGGGGTCTATGTTTTTTAATTTACCAACTTTCTAACTGACTAAGGTTTAACTAAGGGACTATGTTTTTTTTTTAACTCACCTTAGTTACTTTTTGGCCGGAAAGTGGACTCTAGGTCCCAAAAGGTGAAAAAAAAAAAATTAGGTCCCAAAAGATGAAAAAAATAAAAACTTAGACCCCAATGTTATACTTAACTCCATCCCTACCTTATAAAAAGTAGAAACATACTCTTATAAATAGTGTAATACCAATTATACCCTTCAAAATGTGTATTTACATACATACCCTCATTAATATGTAGATGCTATTTTAATGATGAATAGTGTTTAGACAACTATACCCTCTAAAATATTTATGTACTTTTATGTTTTCATAAATGTTAGTTGTCTTGAACATTTATACCACCTAAATATAGTTGATTACATATTTTCTCTTATTGTTTTTTTTTTTTTACGAAAAATTTCTCTTATTGTTAATTTAACTAATTTTGTGATTTAAAAGTCAAACCAAAAAAACCTTCAAGATATGGCTAGCTATGACTCGCGCGTGCGTTAGCTGCCCTAGTAAAAGTAAAAGTAAAAGACAAAAGTTTTTTGGATCAATTCTTACTAAAGCACATTTTGCTTATGGGGCAAATAAATAAGGATAGAGGGAGTAACTTGCTAAACGAGTTTTTAAATATATCTTGTTTTCCATAAACAAATTACTTTTGGGAGATTCTAACTTTTTAAGGTCCCATATCAATTTTCACTTTTTTTTTTTATTTTTTATTTTTATTTACAAAGACAGCTTTATAAATAAAAAAAAAACCAAATTACAGCCTAAAAGAGCTAAAAAAAAAACTAAAAATAACCAAACACACCTCTCATTTTTTCTTTTCTTTTTTTTTTTTTTTTTTAGGAAAATAACCGAACACACCTAGCTAAACACATTTGAATCATATCAATTACAAATTTACAACTGTATAGTATAGTAGAGTTATCATGATCTATAGACTATAGCATATCAATAAGCCTCATTGCAATATTGCATGCACCTTATGGTTCATATTTAACATGAGTTGAGGGTCAAATTAAACTCACAGTTGGGATCTTTAATTGAATTTGGGCAAATTAAACGAAATGAAATGTAATGATTCCGCTCATAATGTACCAAATCCATGAAGAAATTATGATTCCACTCATATTCTATTCCAAATTTATCATCATCGTATCCCTTTTTTTTTTCCAAGAATATGTATCTATATTTTTTTGTCCTTTCATTATTTGTGCCAATAGAGTCAAAAGAGTGCGTAAAAACGGAAATTGATTTTGGCACACCACTATGTGAGAAGAGCATTGAAAAATGTACTCTCACATCAGGGTGTGCCAAAATCAATTAAGGGTGTGCCAAAATCATTTCCCGGAAAAAAAAGTTGTATATATGAATATGATTACTAGATTAGCAACTACTAAAGTTTCACCAACAGCTAGCTAGCAAGCTCTAGCTAAAGCTAGCACATTGATCTGCATTGAACTGGTGCCCTGGTCCCATTGCATCCAAAATAAGCAACAATAGCCCAACAAAAACCTTTAAACTTGCCATTATTACAGGGTTAGTTAGTAAGCCCCTTACAACTATATAATGATCAAGTCATAAATCATATAGGTGTTGGTGTTGCACTAGAATGGCACACATGTGTAAGTGTATCGTGTATCATGTATCGTGTACGTGTATTATTTCAGTTGCCAACCACGGTACCTTTCATAGATTGTTACTCTATCCATTATCAAATAATTTTCAGATTGGTCTAACCCCTATCTAGCTTGTATCTCTAGTTAATAAAAGTAATTGGTATAATTCATTTTAAACGGTATAAATTATCAAAGATCTCAATATTCATCTAGAGATTATTTATCTCCAATAAGAGAGTAAATGATACTCCGTAACTTATATCCTAATTTTAAATCTCCAATAAGAAAGACTTGAATATGGTACTTAATACCTTTTTTTTGGTCGAATTTTACAAGTGCTTAAGTTATAAGAACATATAAAACCCGGCAAAATATATAATTAACCATTATAAAATCCTCCAATACAAGACACAACCATTGAAGAATTTGAATTTCACCAAAGGAAACAAACTTTGTTATTATTGTTCTTGTTAATAATATAATTATCCTCCAATACAAGATACAACCATTGAAGAATTTGAATTTCACCAAAAGAAACAAACTTTGTCATTATTGTTCTTGTTAATAATACACATGTGAAATCAAAGAGTGAAAAGTATAATAAAATTTGGTTACAAGTGAAAAGTATATAGCTAATCCTAAAAGTAAAAATTACAAATATGTAGTTAACCAACCTATATAATACAAACACCTATAATTTTCCCAATCAATGCACAATATATATATATCATCACTATAACAAATTTAGTTAAACTAAAATCACTTCGAGATTATCAGTACATATCGCCTTTGAAATTAAATCCATTGCGAAAACTTACCAATATCCTTGCCTCGAAATCATCGAAGATTTTTTTTCAAAATCTTGCTTTTGAAAACTTAAGTTGAGCTGATTTCCTAATTGAAACAAGCCCTTTCATCAACTTCCCTAACACCAACAATTTTGTACCACTATTACCATTACTTGTTTTCCTACCAATTTTGTTGACTTGCATAAAACTCATATCTTCACTTGTACTTTTTCTTCCTTTAAACTCCTTTTTCTCTTCTTCATTAAAATCTTCCCACAAATAATCCATGCTTTCTTCAACCTCAAAATCCCTGCTTTGAAAACTCACACTACTCGCGCTCCTTTCGATTTCTCTCCTACTAGGCATGATCTCTTCACACATACTACGAACTTCCATTCGATATTCATCAACATTGTTATTATTATTCACCCCTTCATTAAATTCATAATAACAATCTTCTGGATGATGGTACACCCTCGACGAAATCCTCCATAATGAAGACGATGATGATGAAGAAGAAGTTAACATGAAATTTGACAATGGGTTGTTATTAGAAACAATAGGAAAACTAAACTCTTCAACGTTACTAATACTACTACTAGTAGTAGTATTAGTACTAGGGTATGAAAACATGTTTATTTTCTTAGCAAATTTAAGTAAGTATGTAATAAAATTGATGGAAATTATATAATGACGATGATGATATAATATAAGATATGAATAGAAGATTAAATTAAACTTGGTTAGCGCCGAAATGGTCGGAGTATGTATGAA